TATATATATATATATATATATATATAGTGAAACTGAAAGGATACGAAATTAAAGCTCCGGTCCTAAGAGAAGGGCGGTTGGCTGACTAAAGAAGTCTTCAAGAAAGTAGTTCCAGATATACATTCTGCCAGATCGGTTACGTGATTGGCAGAGACTGAATCATGACACCCGTTTTGCTCTGTCCGAATGCACTAAAAATGCTCGACTCAGAACCCTAAGGAGTCAATCCCAGTGTTGGTTCACTACAACTTAGATTCACGTGCCGAAACTGTGACTGCGATCACTGTGTACTTCGCAAGACTATGCTCAATAGCGGATCGCATAAAGGAGCCCTACATTGGAGCTGATGCTCTCCTTCGATCATTTCTGAAAACTGACAAGATTCTCTTGCCGGGGGACTTCAATGGATGTATCGGTCCATATCATTCCGTTCTCGGCCACCGTGGTTCACGGACCGTGAACACCAGTGGTGTCCGATTTCTTCACGCGTTTGCCCTCACCCATATGAGATTTCGCCTTTATCAGCAACACTACTAGAAGAGCACATCCATGCAGCGGGTACTCTCATCTACTCGACCACTCTATCGTTCACCAACCAAGTATTCAAGTGGTTAGCACATCATGAGGGCTACTGTGACAGACCTTTGGCTCTTCCAAATAAAGCTCAATATCTGCCTTGGTAAAACACACTATACCATCTGAACGATTGTTTTCCATAACGTCATAAATGGAGCACAGTGCTTCCGTTAAAGTGCAATTAGGCGGTGAGGGGGTGGCACAAAAGGTGATATTTAGGACCCTCAACTGGGGTTGATTATTTGCTGTGGTTGGGTGGCTAAGGATGGATCAACGCTTTCAAATGACGCTTTTGTTGACAACGCTGGCTGGTGTAGTCGAATGGCTATCGCCTCTACTGTTGCGAGCGCGTTTTGTCTAAAGGCTTTGGGACGATTTGATGGAGCTTGATACATCAAGCTGAACGACTCAGTGGAAGATGAATGCTGAATTATCCGATGGACCTAGCTTGCGGAACATTCGCAAACGGAGGGACGTATTCTCATGGAAGAGTCGTGGACCGCAAGTTAGACTTGGTGTTTGTATTGTGAAGCTGATCACTGTTGAAATGATTTCCTAACTGATCAGCATTGAAGATTTTTCCAATTAGAGACGTGAGTATCCACTTGCTTGCTTCGGAATCACTGTCTTCTTCAATCCCAAAGATGGTTGTCTACATTTAGATACGATTCGGAAGTGACAGCGCTTCTGAATTACCACAGAATGCTATGCAGGTATATTCAAAGTCTCGCTCATTAGCAATGCAGGTCTCCAGTCTATCCGAAAGGGACACTACTGGGTTCAACCCCTAGGATGTTTTCATCTGTGTTAGCAAAATTTCGCCTTGTTGCCCTGGCTATTCCGGAATGCTAAACCCCAGCAGCTTTAGAAATGATTTTCTATGAACAGACCAAGCTGGATAATAACTTGCACTAGTCATATGTGGTGCGAGCCGTCAAATGTCCCTTAGCATGCTCTGTAGGGTTCAACTGTTCAGGTGCACTCAATTGAATTGACGATTATGACCATCAATGGGGTATACTGATGGCCTCAGAACTGCTGTTCACCCCCGTTTTTTCTTCGGATTCATATTGAGTACTGAGTTCGGTTAGATGCACATGTGGTCCCGCGCAAACCCCATAGGGCATAACCATTGTTCGCGATGCTCCATCAGCATAGTTCGTTGCGTAAGGTAAATCCGGAAGCGAGCGAATGTTCACCATATGGTGTATCACTATTTTCAATGGTTCCGACATGTGACCTGTTGTTTCATTCTCATTTCTATTGGACTTCCACTTTAGCTTGCCTTATGGCTGAAAACCACAACAGATCCAATGATTCGGAGCAAACTTTTGCCGAAATAGAATCTTGGCTTGAAAGCCTTTCCGTCGAGTCTACGGTGAACACCTCTCGGTTGGAGCAAAACCTCGAAGAGTGGTTGCATTTGATCAATGACATTGCATCCATAAGAAATATCGCATTTGTTACGTCCGGCGGAACAATCGCTCCTTTGGAGCGCCGCATTGTTAGATTTATTGACAATTTCAGGTATGTGATAACTTTACCGTTGTCGTCTTCATCAATGATTTGCTTGTCTCGGTATCTGTCATTGATCGTGGAAACCAGCACCTCTTCATACACCATCCACAGATGTCACTGCTTCATTTCATGATAGCTATTTCTCAGCGCCCAAATGTTCGCGTAGTTCTCTGGACTCAACACGCTACTTATAAGATTGTTTAGAACCCGGATAGCCTTAAACGAGAGATTCAGTTGAGTTCTGCGTTGGCACCAACTTAATGTACAAGTGAACTTATCTCACACATTATTGTTGCTACTCGATTTCTGTTGCTACAACTCTCCTTCCTGATTTGGTTATGATCGCCTACTCTAATTGAGTAGTAGCGACTGTCGGTCGGTGGCACCAAAGAAAGGATGGGCTCCGTAAATGCAACGAAGGAGCGGCAACTGTGTGACATTTGATCGGACAGGAAAGTAACATCAATGATCAAAGTCCAGGTGTGCTAGTCCAATGGATTAGAATGCGGTTACGCGATCTTTTGTTGCAGCTTTTACGGATATCCTAGGTCATAGCAACTATTTCGTATTCGTTGATGGTTGACATGGCATTAAACTCTACCGTTTTCCTCGCAAAGTTGCACAAAAAGTCCAAACTTTCGCCAGTAACCCTGCTATGGCCCGTTGTATTTCTAGGCTGAATTGCGCCCGCTATGTAAGTGTAGAGCTTGGATAATACCGGTCGATCAAACACCATGTACCGCAATACCCTCTCAATAGGGTCTACCGACAAAGGAAGCTTAGCCTTTAGGTAGTATTTTCAACTGAAGGTATTCTAATAATCGACTCTAAGATCAGTTCAGTAGGGCCAAAGAGGCTTCTCAAACGGACACTACACGTGTAAATGGCGGAGTTCATCGAATATCACCTATCATTGGGGGTTGCTGACTCGCCGATGAACTGGTGTATTCTGACAATAGATTATAAAGATATGCCGCAAGGTATACTCTAATTACTCCTCGAACCGATTCAGACCGTTGTTGTGGGGTAGCAGAATCAGAGAATATTGCCATGACTGATAATCACCAGAACCATGACACAGTATCTGTATTTCGATGTGTCTGTAGGTTTGTTTACAGACCATAACTAACCTGAAACGTTTTGTCATTTTGTCACAACTAAATTCGTGAGCCTAAATCACACGCTACCTTCCTGAGTCCCAGAACCCTGCTTTTCAGAATATTTGCATCGCGATAAAGCTGACCGTTGTGCAATCATTCCTTGAGGTGGGCAACAACGACTGTGTTGACAGTAGAATTCGCTGACATTTTTGACTCGGACACTAGCGTTGGATGAAAAACTTATTTGGCCGCAAACTCATCACAGCTGAACAAGAACTTCTAATCAAAAGACTAAACTTCAAACTCGAAGACGCATCCCGCAAAAATTATCCAACCAATTTTAAAACACACCTTGAAATCAAACGAAATGTTTGAAGTGGTCCAACAACAGATCCGAGAGAAAATTCTACCGATGATCACACGCGATAGAAACATGCAACTGATCACCAATCAAGAGCGAGACGCATTCAGAAATCTACAAAAGGATGAAACGACAATAATACTACTAGTAGGCAAATGGTGCATCACAGTGATGATAGCAAGCCCGACTACACTGAAAATACCAAACGACCGCTAACTAACGCGACCACCTACAAGTCAACCAATCATGGGAAATACGCTCATTTACAAACTTATTTGGTTTTTCGAGAGACTCACCTGGAACCCAGCTGAATCTCTCGGTCTTGATGTTTCCAGGCAACTGAATGTGCTGCACTAGGCCGCCTCGATATTCGAGATATCGCTATACGTATGTATTTTTTGTAATGCACTACTCACAAGGTTGCTGAAAACACCTCGACAACCCACGACCGGTTTCACCCTTCCGGGGGGGCTCATCAGGTAGGCACAGTCCACGAGTCTCTGTCAACCTTATGTTCTACTTGAAACCAAATTGCACGAGATTGGTGAATATACACTCACTGGCAAACTAATTTGGTTTTTCGATGGTCTCACCCGGAGCCTAGCTGAATCTCTCGTTTGTGATGTTTTCAATCAATCATGACCCAACGTCAAACCTCATCAATCCAATCAACACGATACTCAGGAAACTGCAAGCACCACACGAGATAACCAGCTAGGAACGCTGGAGAATGAAATATGATACCAACATTGCGCAATTCCAATGTACACAAAGATGGAGTTCCACTTTGTGTCAGGGGCTCTACCTTACTAACTAGTAAAAGACCTTTTGGAGAAGATTCGAGCACTTAATTTCTGAATCGAAACACACAATCGGACTCTGAGCAAACTGTGGAACGCCAATATGGATGAAAAAATCACTGTTTCATTTGATGCCTCTTTACTGTTCACTTCAGTCAATCACGTGCTTGCCACAGGAACAATACCGGAACTGTTGTCCACATGTTACACACTACTCATAGGGTTTCTGAAAGCTCTTCGACGTCTTAAATAAAGGATTCAGTTGGATTCAGTTGAGCAATCTGTCAAAACACAATTTATGTGTGAATGAGAGTATTTTTTGAAGTAGCGGAACTGCTTCGGAACAATCCAAACACGACAGGAACCATGAGACCCGAAAGTGTGTGCAAGCTGTTAGACTTTCGCATGGATACATACTTTAGCTTTGATGAGCCAATATATCAACAGCTGAAAGAGACTCCAATCGAATCTCTAATTGCTGAGGCTGTAATGCAGACATCAGACTGCGCGGTACTACCATTCATCAACCCAAAGCTATGGATCCGCTACGTAGACGTCACTTTTGTTATCATCAAACGAAATTCAGTGCATAATGAGCACTAACTGCTCAGTACTACGGTCGCACATATTAAATTTACAATGTAAAGGAACAACTGACTACCATTTTGGATGTTTCGCTGAACAGAAAGGTGGATGAGACTCTGAAAACCATAAAGCGACAAATTCGAATCAAATACTGAAATACAACAGCAGCCACCCAATAAACACCAAGGGAAGTTGTATTCAAACCCTGTCAGGGACCTCACTGAGCGCATATGTAAAATTGTTCTGCCCTTTTCAACCATAGGAAGTGAAATCCAGTTTATTATTTGGAAATCCTGCGGTTCATGGGGCTCACTCCGAGGCAGCTTTATAGGGAATCTAAACCCTCCAAGTCCAGTGAGAATTTTCTTGCCACTAACCCTAATATGAAATACGTCTTCGCCTATCCTAAAAGTGCAATTATCCTTGTTGCAAACTTGAACTGGCCACCTTAGGTGCTTGTTGTCAGGATTTTGCGCCACGAGACTCAGTAAGCTCGACCAGCCACGAACTCACGTTGCATCAGTCGATCGATTTTCAGTCAATTTTATTCAAGGGGAATCACGGGGTCAGTCGATAAAATCCTGTGACCCTGATTGACGACCTGACCGCAGGCAATCCACCCTACCTGAACGTGTACGTTTAGTGACATTCTAAACTTGTTATATCTTCTGATTCGTCAATCTGCTGCTGACCCGCTCCAGTGCCTAGTGTCGGGGAGAAAAGACTCACAGAAGGGAACACAACAGCTGTATTCCGAACAAGCGAGTGAGTGAGAGCGAGAGCGAGTGCAAAAGTTACAACGGCCCCACGCTATTTAAAGGGGACTTTCTGACATTGATCCAGGCTGTCTGATAGGCGTTAGTGAGCACCCACCAACATCGGTCGTGCCTCTGTGAAAAGCCTGAACGCTAATCACATTCGGTCGTGCTTCTGTGGCTCAGATAACGCTCATCAGGTTTTACTGAATTGATCGAATGATTGACTGGCCTGGATGCTTGCCGGCTTTCCAGTTGAGCTTTTGGTGGAGCAGTAGGTTCCGGGCGTTCAGAAGTTGATTTCAGGAATCTGACCTTCCTGATATAAACCGTTCAATTATCATTAGAATTAAGCTACTTTAGCAACTTTGCATTCACTACTCGAATTCACTCTATAATCCGTTAACACCCTTGGCCACAGTCCCATGGGTCGGAATTACAGGGCTGAATGCGCTCATCCATGCGCGTTGCACACCTACTGTAGTTTTAACTTAATCGTTTTANCTCAGATAACGCTCATCAGGTTTTACTGAATTGATCGAATGATTGACTGGCCTGGATGCTTGCCGGCTTTCCAGTTGAGCTTTTGGTGGAGTAGTGGGTTCCGTGCGTTCAGAAGTTGCTTTCAGGAATCTGACCTTCCTGATAAAACTCGACCGATAGTACTGTTCTTGTTAGAACGGGACGAAGTGTTTCATGTGGAGGATTTTTTTTCTTGAAGTTCCTTGCATTCATTTGAGTATTTACTCCAATTTCTTGCACGAGTCTCTACAATGGACGTCAATTTACCAACGGGTCCACTTGAGGGAGGATGTAAGCCGGCTTCTTGACACCTTGATTCGAAGGGTACTTTCGAGCCTTTTGTGAAATCTGTTCATTTTTCGCGCTGTCGTTTCTACGCTGGATATTGTGTCATCGAGGGTTCCTGGACATTAAATCGTCGGGTTTCACGATTCTATTCGCCTGTCATCCTTGGTCTTATCCTGCTGCAAGGGTATAGTAAATTGGGCGCTAGAGTCGAACTTGTGTCCAATTCATTACTCGCGTTACTATCTGTGCTTCAAGCAGCGTCTAGATGATTGCTTTAGGTAGCTGCCTTACCTAGTGTTCACACGCATGTAAATTCAGCCACGCCAAATAGGCGGGATTAGTTGCCACTGAGTAGCGCGGTGTAATGCAACAAAAAATGCGTGTCTTCGGTTACATCCCCTCCCTCACCGAAGTTTCAAGGTTACATCAGACATAAAACAGCCACTTTCCATACTGACCACTCCTAAAGATATTTTCATATATTTATATTTCATAATTGAGACAAGTTCTGTTGCACAGTTTCGCAAGTCCTCAGGTGGGGGTATCATTTAAGGCCAGTGTTTTCAAGGTGCCAGGATCTAATAAAGAACGGTAAATATTCCTGTTGGTTACGGGCGCCGAAGAGTAATTAGTTGAGGGCGATACAGGGGCACAAGTTGGCGAAACGTCTGGTGAATGTTCTCAATTTTGTTGGAAGATATTCGGGATTTCCAGTGGAACAGAATATGGGAGCAAAGGAGGAAGTGCAAAAGGCATAAGTGACCCTTTTGACTAGATTTTAGAATCATCACGTTTCTGACGGTACGTTCTACAGTTGGTCACCTATCTGCTGGTGTATTTAGTCGTTGGGGATTACAACCCTCCGGACGTCAATCTGTTCACTAGGTGCTGATGACAAACCGCGCATCCGCCACTACTTATACGTTCAATGATTCCTCCTGACCACACTGACACAAGTGGCCAGACTATTCAAGAGGTGCTTGTTTTTGCAGTTTGAAGAAGTATAATCATACAGTCCCAAATGATGGTCTCGAATTTCCGAATAGTAACTAAGGCCGGTCAGCAGCATTTCAAGCGATAAGAACGCATAAGTAGAACTAGCCCTATACATGTATGTTGCTCAAAAATACGGAGTGAGTGGTGTGGATTTTTGAAGGGGGAATGAGACGAGGTATCAAAGGCGTAGTAATAAAGACATCCTATATTTCAGCAAGGCTACCGTTTACTTAGACGGATAGTGAAAGTGATGAGCAAACGTAAATAAACCTCGCCATCTGTATGATCCCCATTAGAGGAAGAGCTAGATCCATTTGAAATTATAGACAGTAAATTTGCAGACAACACAGAGTTCTGGGATGGGGGAAGACTAATTTGAGCACTATCCACAGTTGATGTTTGACGGAAAAGCTAGGGTGAGCGTTCGGTGTTCGTCAAGCACAACAAGAATATTATCAAAACAGTCTATACCAAGCTTCAGCCGGGAAATTTGCAAATCTGGTATTCAGGTACTTACGACTGAAAAGAACAAGACAGGCAGGAATGAATAAAGTGCCAACTCTATCGCCACATCAAACACAACATTTTGCGAACGGATATGGGTGAGATTCGTGTTTCATTTGAAAACAGTTCACAAACGGTCGAGTTGGCGAATGGGGTTCGCGATACGATTACGAATTTATTTTGAAATTATTTATTTTATTATTTATCTTTTGAAATTGTGTGCGCGAGAGATAAAGAAGGTAGTGGGACATCAGAACCGAGAGATTCAGCTGGGTTCCAGATGAGTCTCTCGAAAAACCAAATTAGTTTGCGGATGAGCGTATATTCGCCAATCTTGTGCAATTTAGTTTCAGGTAGAACATAAGGTTGACGGGAACTGGGGGACTGCGCGTACCTGATGAGCCCCCCCCCCCAACAACGGCGAAACCGGTCGTGGGCTGTCGAGGAGTTTTCAGCAACCTTATGAGTAGTGCATTACAAAATATATGTATGTATCGCGATATCTCGAACATCGTAGCGACTGGAAGACGAGGCGGTGCAGCACATTCAGTTGCCTGGAAACATCAAAACGAGATATTCAGCTGAGTTCCAGGTGACTCTCTCGAAAGACCTAATAAGTTTCAAGTTGAGTGTATATTTGCTAAGGTAGAGGGACGTTTGCAGGCCTGCGACCCAGTTCAAGAGCTGAACTGTGTCAGTCTGTTGATGGGTCTTACGTGGATGACCTCGAAAGTCATTTGGTATCTAGTCGTCGTGGGATGACTCCAATGTTTTAATCATTCCGAAGCGTAATGCCAGTAATTCTGACAACAATTTGGTCATCCCCACTATTTTCGAAGTCGGCTATGTTCGAACAGCTTCATATTTTCTTAGTTGTTCCTCACTTGTGACAGGTCCTCCTGTGTCAAACATATGCACCTCCTTCACTCGACTCGTTTGATGCGACAGAAATAGGTATTTTGACGCCCGGTAGAAAATCGGTCGCGTTTGGCATGTGCTACTGTAATTGAACGTGGTCAGCTTTGCTGAAAGTTCTCCCAACGACTGCTCTATTCCCGAGCTTAGTGTCGTCGGAAAATGGTTTGACTCCACTGCTGCAAGCACAAGAAATAATTTTAGAAAGTAGCCTTTTCCCTCCCTTTACCCCAACTCTTCAGCCACTCAGACGGCTTGTCCGCATCCTACTGCGGCCTTTCACCGTAGTTTGGCCTGTCTTTACAAAAACCCAAAAATATCCTTACCACCTGCTCAGTATTGTGGTCGACCAGTATACTCAGGTTTTCAATCTGTTCACTAAGAAAGTTTAAAATTTTGAAAGTTCTCCGTCTGTCAACAGTTGGTCTCGCTTGTCATCCATAATTTAGAAAAACTACTGAGAGTTGTTGTGTGGGCCTCATTTTTCTGGTACCGAATCTCACTTGCGTGAGACTACGTTTGTGTAAACCCCTATCCTGTGATTTGTGCTTTTTAGCACTGGCTCTCGTGGTGCAAGTTCAACGGAGTACTTTCTGCGCCATGGGTACGCGGTTGTGTTTTTCCATCGTCGTGGCTCATTGCTGCCTTACTTACGCACCCTGAAGAATTGTCTCTCTTTGGACACAATGGAGAGAATAGAAAACCAGTTAACAATGGATCAGCATCACTGCATCAACTATCTCGACTGGTTTCAATTGAACTCGAATGGAACTGATGTATCAGTCTCGCAAGCGGCCCTGGGCTATTTACTCCCAGTACTGACGGCATACAGCAAATACAGTAAATCAGCTATCAGAACACCCTGGTGAATTGTTCGTACTGTACCTTGATTCTTTCAAGAGCATGCGCCAATCAGGCGGTTTTTTCACAATCACCCGTACATTCACATAATCGAGTGTTTGCTCCCCTGATGAGTATTTGAGGAAGTTGTCGATCTCACGCATGTTGTTATTTCGTTGCATTGTTTATTGATTAAGAGACCCGATTACTGCATGGTTAGGCTGGTCTAGTATCAGTAATAGGATTCTCCTTTGGAGAAAACACCCATGAAACCGACTGGGAGCGTTTTTTTCTTGATGAGCGTATGATCGTCTTAGTCATATCTGAACCCTGACAAATTGTCCGTGTCCGGGATTGTTACACTTCATCAACTTATTCATTCGGTAAATTCAGCTGAATGATGTGAAGCTGAAGTTTATGGTGATTACCCCTCAAGACTCATTAAAATCGCGCTCCCATTAGAAGCGTCCTTTCCTGGGCGACATGAGTCTCAAGCCACGCCCCCTCAACAGTCTTACGTACGTCTACAGTCGAAACTAATTGGTATGAAGAAAAACACAAGAAGAAACACAACAAACAAGAGACGTGACATAACACAGGAAGAAAAAACACACCCACATAGGCCGGGTCACCTTACTTACTGCATGCATCATCATCCTCAGCTGTAATCACCTTGTACATATTGTGCAGTGGGAATGGCTACCGTAATTTCAGTCGCAGTTGATCGGCAGAGATATGGGTGGATAGCTGTGGATTGCAGAGAGTAGTTACTATAATTGACACTGCATAAAGAAGAGCGAATAAGCGAAAACGCGAGTGCTGATACCTTCCATCCTTCCTCATTGTTATATCTTAACTCTCCCCCTAAATGGCTTAGTAACTGCTCTTCTATCGGTTCCGATTTAAGCCCGTCCGTTTGGTGCCCAGAAAAAGTGGCCAGTCACACCTGTATCCGCCATTCGAAACTCGCTATGAGGTCTTTGTTGCAGCCCTTAACGTGCGAACTACCGAGCAAATTCGCCAACAAACTGCTATTGCGCGCACTCTGTATACTGTATTCATAGTCTGCTGCATTTGCAAGCACTGACGTTTTGTTCACCACCTAGACATTGTCAGCATCTGAATCCGCGTGATCCCGCAGCTCCATCGGTTTGCATGGGTGTTTGTGTAGCGCTCAGTTAAGGATTGTTTGATTAGGCATCCGTAAGCATCCGATTCTCTACTGTCCGACCACCTACCTCCAAATCACCTGGCACCATCCGAAATACTAATCCCTCCCTTAGTGTTCTATAATTCACCAACGCATTCTGGTGCAAAATTTTGCTCCAAAGTATTCTTTTGGTTTATATATCTTAGCAGCTGCATAGCCGCGACGAATGGAGTTGGTGAATTCATTAACAAAGGCTGATAAAAATTTGACAAGGTTGAACTTCACTGAAATTGAAAGATCGGGTGCGCAAAGCCACTGCAAGAGCAATCTTACTTCAGGGTTGCGAAATTTGTCCCCTGATACCTGAAGACCTTAAACATCGTGATCAATAGTGCCTTGGTAGCATGGTAAAAGTAAGATGGGTGGGGCGTATACTAGAAGAAGTTGTGCTTAATTGAGTGCTTGGTAACGAAGCAGAATCAGTGGGGCAACAAAGGCGGTTGCGACATGTACTACGCATCCCCAACCACTGTTTCTCTTTGTTTTCCACCGTGATCTGTGTATCAGCGAAGGACTCGAGGACGAGTAATGACGGCTGCGCGAAGGAGGCTACAGATGAGTTTTGCAAAAGACGTTGGGTTAATCCCACTGATGACATGGTACTCTGATCTTCAATAACTTCTTCCGGTGGAATTGTATTTAGTGTGCACCAATCGTCAAAGAAATCTCGTTCAAGTGCTGATTAGAGAGGTATCTCAAAGCCGTTTGATTTTGAAGATACCCTGAGTGCGGTCTATTTCAGGCTTTCTACCACTAAACGGATACATGAAATGCGGGGTTTCATTGGACAAATATATATTGACCATACTTCTGTGCATCAAACCTATAATATTCCTGCAATCTCTTGGGTCGGATGATTCCTGTTACACAACTGGACTATAGAAGTCTTGTGTCCTAATGCGTCGTTGCGACACATCAATGGCGTGATTGCTATTATTGCCAACCAATCTAGCGGTTTGTGAATAGGTATACGTTACTGTCACCCTGGCTTTCTAGCTGATTCGTAGTTTTGATCATGAGAGGAAACATACAAAGAACCGCAGCCTGGGTAGCCCAATCGAGCCCGTTTCTCGTTCCTCTCTGAAGCACGACCCTAGACGTCAACCACAAGAGTATAAAATGGATGTTGGATATCTAATTCTCAACTAGTTCATCGTGCAATCATTATTCAGTGAACCCTGCGATACAGAGTCACCCCGTAGTATGCAATTTAGACAACCTCACCGGTCAGCCATCTATGCCTTGAAGGTGAAACAACCAATCGCCAGAGTTTGGGTTCAAACGATAGTTGTGCTTCTTTTTCATCGAGAATGGATCTGCGGTACACGTCGCCTTTACGTGACGATATCAAAACACGCTGCCTTCTTTCTTGCTTGAATAAAGGAATACTCTGTGGATCCAGATATTTGCAAGAACCTCCGTTGTTTATGTGATTGTTTATTTAAGCTTATTCACCAAGCTTGAATTCTGTCTTTCTAGCGCCCATAAGGCAGTTTATTATTGGATCTGACCAGTAAGAAACATGCTAATCAGATCTGATTCGCGACTCATCACGGGTGGAATTGAAAGCGACACTCCGATTACCTGACAGATGCGCTCAACCATGCTCCTCTCCGTGACGCAATATTAAGCCACCTAACAGTTGGTGATTATATAGGATTGCATCTGTTTTTAGTTGTGCTATAATTTGGTCCTTTTTACCTAAAACAGCTGAGTGTTTACCAAAAATCCTCATCTCTATAATGATCTAAATCGAGAGCATGTATTTATTTTAGAACGAGGGTTGTTGACACTAACCTTCGAAACAGTCGAGGACTATGTTGTCGGACTGTATGTGATTTCCAAAAGACTGATGCAGTTCGTTAAAAACGAGTCAAGATACAAACGTTCGCTGTGTTGTTATCTGGCGGCTGCTGTATCCGATTTTTATCTTCCCCTCGCACAACGGTCGGAACACAAAATCCCTTCTTCGGCAAGCGGAGACAACTCCAAGCCGTCGACTTTGTGCCTCGATGGTTCAGGTCTTACGATACATCTTGAGAGTGTGCCGAAACTCCTGCCACCGCTTATACTCAAATGGGCATCTGGAGCATTTGTGGTTAGTTTTAAAGTAAGTGACGATCACGCGTTTGTAAGTTTACAACTAATATAGCACATTTACCTACCTTCAGGTGAGTATAACCTTTCAATTCGGTGCTTCTCACCAGTAGAAATCCCTACTTTCCTCAAAAATACGACTGATTTGACGAACGCCATTCGTACGAGATACGCTTGCGAATGGTGTTTGCTGGATTCACAGAATTCATGTTCATTTCACTCTCTTTAGAACAACCATCCCTGCCCTGGCGCAGTTATTTTGTTGTGCCTAGACGACAGCGGGATATAGTTGACTCGAGTTTTGTTCTTATTACAGCTCATCAGCCATGCCGTGGTTTAAACTCCGTACATCGGACATCCAACGCGAGCGCGTTACCAATACCCCAGCGGCGCACGCTTACACCTGAATTTTCACGTTTGCATAGCCTAACGTTTTCACGATTGAGCGATGTGACTGGTCTACCCGACGCCTCGAACGACGATCCAGGAATTGTCCTGGTTGCGTCGGTCGACTGACACGCTCTTAGCCGGAATTCCACATAGACCGCTTTACCGCTCGCAATTAGGCGCTGCTACGGCCGAGAAGCTTATCCCGCACAAGATTGGCTAAAATTTCGGGCCGCTGGCCGGTCCGGCATCAAGGCGAACTCTGATTGGTCGAAAGCCTGGACCCAGTAGCCAACCATGACCCAGCACCCGCCGGATACCAGATGCCAGTGGCGCATCCAGGCGTCAGTATTTCCAGAATATTGTCGCAGCATGCATTTTGTAGGACGTTCTGTACAAGCGTTTTTGACCTGATTTCGGGACTTATTACACGTAATGCACCTTCGGTGGTGCTTGGGAGGCTGAAACCGAGAAAAAAACGGTTAATACACACGCGTGTCAGAACTTCTCCTTAATCGCCAAGGACTACGGTGCGCTATAAATTCTTTGGTCATTTGTTGATAAACTAGCCACCTTACTTCCTACAGCGAACTCCCTGAGTTCCAACAGCTTCCCTTTGTGACTCGTGTTGACCAAGTGGTCGCCTCTCTGCATTCAACTTCCGGGTAATATGCTATCACATCCGTTCTAGCTTGTCTGGTCTACTCATTCTTTCAGTAATGAATATGAGCGTTATTTAATATACACGTGAACTAGCACCGCGTTGAACCCACCATTACGGCGTCTATACTTCTGGAACTACTGCTCACGAAGGTTGTTGGCACGCTTTGAAGATGCACTTCAGTGCACTAGCGCGAGGATACATGGCATCTTTTGATTGTCATAATGAGATATTGCGTTCGGTATGCTTCAGTATCGATTTTATCTAACCTCCTCTGTAACATACGCTCCAGTACAACCCTTTGGTCATTCTTGTCGCTTGGACGTGTTAAGCTATTCCATAGTGCGACCGCTTCTCTAGTATTGCCATGATTCGCTGGCTTCCGATGTTGTGCTAGGGGCTGTACTGGGTATGATGTATTGCTACATCGGTAGACTCGAATTCACATTTCGGCTGCCACCAGGATCTGCCTATATGAGCCCTACACAACCAACAGTTGACCCAGCTGTGAATGGTCAGCTCTGATTCCTAACTTTGCATAGGCGCGAGATTTGCGTTCAACACAACTTCAGCCCGAGGACTAAACGAGCGACTTTGGGAGAATAGTAAAACGTGATTGTTTTCAAACGCAGAAAACATGGTTGATTGTGCCGTCGGATGTCAAACGGATATAAGCCCTCAACTCTCTCTCTTGAGTGTCTTCAATGACTCCAAAGTTTCCTGCATAAGTTCCAAATCACATAGTCACCGCTTCTTTCTGGATCACAAACGCGCTTTGTTAGGATAACGGTATGTTATCCGCTCAGCTCTATTAGGACTCTAGTGCCTTTACAATTCACCGAAATGGTGGACACAATAACTTCGGAACTGGCTAGATCTTTCTTTCGTTGTGCATGCTCCACGTAGTTAGCTTATATTGTGTCGAACTTGAAAAGCACGGGTGCTTCATGTCGAATCAATTGCTCTCAAGATCTGGATAGTGGAACTATATCTCTGCCTCCATTGTTCACTTAGGGTTAGACACACTGGTGGGCTGGCTGCAGAAGCCGAAGATGGCAGGCTACCAGTTTGGTCGAGTTTTAAAGCAGGTGGAGAACCAGCAGAGCAAGAAGCGTCAGTGTAGATAGTGTTGTAGGCAAGGGAAAAATCGATGAATTTGAGCCGCATATTGGGCCTTCAGCCTCGTAGCACTTCACTCAAAGTGGGTGCAGTTTTTGACTTCTCTTAGCACGTGTGGGTGTTCTGAGAACGGGCCTGATTGTATTACATGGGTTTTGGCCGGGCTGGGCATTCCATTTCAGATTTAACCTAACCCTGTTGATTTTTCTTGATTAAAAACTGCACCGCACCGCGTTTCAAATTTGATGATAGAAAATACTGAACATGTGCTCTACACCCTTCTAGTATTTTTGCACTGGGATGCCCGGCGACCATTGCTGAATTAACCAGATATCCAATACCACAAAGGTCTATGTAAACAACAGCAACAACTGAGTGTGGCCATTAAGTACTAACTGCAGGCGTTCCGGCTATTGTGACGTTATTCGTTAGAAACCGTGGTATCTTTCATATGTTAAACTTTATTCCTTTTTCACTCAGCTCGAAACGGATCGCAGTCATCTCTTATCCGTCGCTGAGTCTCGAATTGTGAATGCTGAGTCCCATTTGGTAGTAGCCAATCAGCTGGAGACTCGATTTGAAGAGGTTTGGTTGGTCCATCGTTTGTGTGACCCACAGAAATGTGTTCGTGAACATATCCAAGTCCCGAAATCGAACGAAGGGCAAACGACCGTGGAACTCGAGGAGTTGCTCGTTTCTCGGTTAGTCGAGATTCATCAGAGTCTCCACGTATCAACCGCCAATTCAACGTCACCCTAAGCCAACAAATTTCCAGGTCGATTTCACCCAGAGGACGCTATCTTCTTCACGAACATTTGGAGGCTTATTGCAGCCATACTGGTTTCTTCAAATACTTTATACAGATATGTTTCTAATTTAGCAGTGACATCACTGTACTCTTTCCAATTTGCAATTCCTTCAATACGCTCAAACTCAACTGCTCACAACGGGTTCATATTCCGCAGACAATTTTTATGGCGAATTCATTCGACTTTTCCTTTGGGATCTCCACGTTCGGTATCGAGGCAGTGCCATTCAGTACAATAAACGCAAAAGAAACTACTACGGACAGAAGTAAATTTATCCACAAACCTTAATAATCTGGTTCGAAAATTGCGAGTTGTAGGCCATAGCTTTCAAAAAGTCGAACAACATGCCCTCGAGGGTTGATCTTATAATGGGAAATTGGCGCGTCCGATCAGCTTCTATTAGCGAAAGGCTCTAGGCAAGGACGACTTTTCAGTCGGCTGACGCAATAGACCATGACTTAAGAATTCTTGGATTAAACTGGGTTGTAAGGGTCAACGTATTGGCCCCATCGCTTTTTATGATTGTTGTTCCCTTATTTAAATAGGTCAGCTACGTAATAGCGAGAAAAGCGGGCAAGCAATTAACGCTTGGCCCTGATTCTATTCATCATAAGCAAGTTTCGTTAATACGAAGGAGACGAACGTCCACCCGGTCACGAAGAACGATGTGAACGTGAATGTCTATTCTTATTCCCTTACTGAAAAAGACACTGGAGATACGGAGAAAATATCAGTATCCAATCCGGACTGGCTATGAATTATGAACTGATAAACAAAAAAGATCGCAGTAGATAACCACCTGAGAGGTGAATATTCCAGAGCCTTGGAGTTCGCTTCAAACAAGCACCGTTTAGTTTCTTAAGGGCTATTCTCCCATTCACCTGGAGTGTCCCATGTTACGCTTCAAGAGACGGATTCTTAATGTATGATTATGACGAAACGATTGAATCGAATCCGAACGAGTCAAAGCATAACACGACCGTGAAGGAATGTTCATTTACTCCTTAATATGACTATTCTCATGCGAAACGCCTGAAGCGATTGTGTTTGAATGTTCAGTATTGACTCCGAGGAAGGAATTTTGTGGTCATCCACCATGGTCTACCACGGACAAAACATCATCTCAAAACAAAAAAATGGTCCGCCAGGATTTCTGACTTGAACTCCTAATAGCGCCATCGCCATTAGGATAGAATACAAATTCAGGATTGACAGTAGCTTTCAGTAGCACTACATCACGGAAACGAGGGTGCAGAGAAGTGGTCAAAATTCTGCGTTTAACCTTGAATCGCCCCCAGCAATCAGGTGTTTCCAACGGATGGAACCGTTGGCTAACTATATCCACGCACCACAGGCGACACAAGATGGAAACTAACGTGACCGGATCACGACCTATTTACCAAAGGCTTTACCGCAGAGCGAAAACTCTTGTAATGTTTCTGGATAATTCACGCTCGTGCTGTACAAATTGCGATACCATGTAGGTTGTCAGCACCACCGAAGGAATAGTTTAGTTGTCACGATGAAACATGACGATAGCAAAACCGATGTTGCAGATACTCAACCCAGTGTTAATCCGTCTCAAATTATCTTTGTCTGTTAGGTTGGACACCTAACCGAGAGGATATTTGCATAGAAATCAGAGGGATCAACTGTTCGCTTGCCCCAGCAATAACCACGGTTCCTAGCTTGGGGGAAGGGCTCACTGCAACTCGGGCTAGCCTTAGATGAGCGACCCATAAAACGAAGGACGAAACCACTGTCGTCATAGTATAACATCTTGGTTTGGACGTAATCAGCAGTACTACAGACAAGCCGCATAGCACGCACAATGTAGAAGACCAATGAGTGATGGCGATGCAGTATGCATGTGCGTGGATGACCGGATGAAAAATTGATAGGAAAATACATAGGGTTAGTGTCATGTACCAAAAATGGGAAAAGTGATCCTGGAAGGAGTTCTGTTCAGACACGACACAGGGCGACCATGCAACCGGTACTGAGTTGACCTGGAGTGTGAAGCAGAAGACATCGTCAAATAAAATGGCGGAATGAAGAAAAATATTCAGGCAACAACCCATTTATTGAAACAAAGTACTTACCACTAATCTGAGTGAAGTTTTGAAGCACATCGTTAGATTTTCTTCAGCAGGTTCCGTGCACGAGTTACTGCCGCCTTGAAACTGGCAAGCTCTGTTTCATCCTGAAAATGAAACAAAAACGGACTAGAACCGATATATTCGTCACCAACAGGTGACAATATAGTGGTTCCCTCATGAGAGGGTACGCTGTCAGGATCGGTCAAAATGTTGGTCTGGGTAGGGGGAGCACGGTGAGATCTAGAGCATCAGAAGTTTATTATCGGTCGCCTGACAACCTGGCACGCAAACAGGTTTGTATTGCCTGGCGTCTGCAGATGGCTATACACTACTGCTCAGAAGCTATTACAGCCGACGGGTATCGCTTCATTAGGTATATAAGTTTCAGTTGCTGGAAAACCATATATTGATTGACAGTGAACATTCGTAGGCGGTTCGAAATAAGTTTCAGTTGCTGAGAAACCATATATTGACAGTGAACATTCGTAGGCGGTTCGAAATGTTATCGTATCATAATTTTTATTATAAAAGAGGTCATCATAACTTCAAATTATTTAGGGAAAACGCTCATCGATAGCTGCTACTGAACATAATGCGCAGGTTGATGCAGTATTGTCTTTCAGTTTATCGTTGTGAATGATAGGACGCTTTGATGTACCGGTAGCCCTCGTCCACAATATCGGGAAAATCGCACAGTTTAAACTGACTCCACTTTTGAATGGACAACAAATGCCCTGCATCAAAGCTAGTGCCAAAAGTCCTAGTTCTCTAACGGCTTTCCAAGCCTTTCTAATTCATTTTACTGTGCCATGAGTAGTCATCTAAAATGGCAACACTGGCAAGTCACGTTTGTCTGCTATTAGAGGTACCTCAATATCTGTGTTAAGTTTTTCATACAAAGTGAGCGTCGCCTTCGTGGATTGTCGCCAGTCTTACTATCACAGTGATGGAGCATTCGTCCCATTCCCTGCTTTTTATCACCTATCAAAACTACGGCGCCAGACGCTTGTCTCCTCGAGTTTGAACCAATGTGTGACGTCCACTCAACTTCCGAGCGGACGATAGCCGCTCAAGCTGTCTACAAGTGCGACTGCTACTCGGTAAAAACGAACACTTGAGGAACCCATATCTACGGGTACGTCAAATGACCCCGATGCTCTGAACCAATAACAGAATATGTAATATAGTGGCTCTATCGTTGGTTCAACTGACTGGCAGCCTCATCAACCTACACGCCTAATAAGAAGCTATTGAACATGTGAATCATTAATCATTAGTTATAATGGCTTGATTAGGCAGTTGCCGGGAGCAAGCGGTTCGCCTTGCGTTCTAAACAAAGTGACTGGATTACTGATAGTATGACTATGGACATCATTATCGTGTGAAGGCACTGCAATATGTTACCTCAACAGTCAATTGTGTGAAGATCGGAAGCCGAATCATTACGAGCCGCTTCATGTAACGCAAAGCAAAAACTACGGTGACTGACTTTTGATCAGCCTCGCCAACTGCCTGTTGCGGCCTTTGTATATGGAGTCGAGCTAAAACCTGGAAACTATTGCGGTAGCATGCCAGGTAAGCAACGAGTGTGGCGGAGCAGAGTCGTGGTCTTTTTAACAGGAAGTACGAGTGGTACGTCCAAAAAGGTATAGTTTCACGTGTATAACGCTTCCCGATTGTGCAGGGATAGACACCCGCTACACTCATTCATTTGGGTCATAAGCTGAAAGGGTGCCAGCTGTTTTAGTGCTCCGCAGATGTCACCAAGGTGAAGGGGGTTAGAAATTTCATCCTCCAAAAGATTTTTGTCAGAGGTTCACAACTGATTGGGAAAGTGCCGATGTAATCTTTTAAGGATAAGATAGATATGGACGAATGGGTCGACTGGTTTCCCCCGCAATCACATTTTTAGACCGGACCTAGAAAACAATCAGTGTCTTTACTAAATAAGATAGCAGATAGATGATTGGTTGGACCCTAATGTCCACCAGCAACACCTCTTTCACATGTTTCTGCCACGTCATACGTTGTCGACCTCGTAGTACACGCCATTCTGAAGGAGGTGTGGATAACACGCTTTCGTCTCAGCTAATAAAACTACTGACGCTTGAATAGTTCCCAACAACCTCGACTGCTTCTCCTAGAACCGCAGGCGGCATGTTCTGAAGCATGAAATTCCACTTTCTGGGTTCAAAGTGCTTGCCGAAAAATGGTCTGCTGGTGGCCAATGTACTCAACAAAGCTTGTGTCTGGCTTCCGTCTACAAAGATAATGACGATGTCATATCCGGCCGTCCGGTCGGCAAGGTTCTCACCAGAAAGAACTTGCAGCGTTCATCCACTGCTTCATTGATAATGAAGTAGAACAAGAGTGAAGAGAGTGAGCGTTCTTGCCGGACAACGCATTTCGTAGAAAAGTCTTCAGACAGAAGCATATGAATATAAAGACCAGGTTTTGTCCAAAAACTTCTGGGACACCCTGTTGAGCAGGTACAGTTAGGAGCACCGAGTGATCGAAAGAATCGGACGCATCCCTAAAGTGTGTGTGAACAAGGATTGTGGTCAAGTAATCCTTCGCTAGCACAGGAACTGAGTAAACCCAATGCCTTGTTGCAAACGATCATCGTACTTTCCATAGCACTGTCCGGTGATTACGGTGCAACTGAGTCAGCGCGCATAGGCACCAATGTCACCCAGTTCTGTAATATAATGTTTGCAAGTGAATTGCTCAGGTCAGCCAACAAACCAACGACTTGGCCCACCAACCGTTTCATCCAAAGACAATGAATTATCCGAATCGCCGCTAACTTCCCAATCAGAGATGACAATGACGTCACGAAGGAATGGGTCGAAAAGGGAGTGAACTTAAGCATACATGAACCAGTATCGTCCAATAAGAGACACCGGCCAAATGGTACCCATTAGGCTATCAGCGATTTGGAGGCGCTACCGAAGTTAAAATCTACGGCGGTATTCATACGATCATTTGGGGATGCAGAACACACAAAAATGGGCGTCGCAGTAAAGCAAGTACGTGATGAAACCCATCTAAACCACCCGCTAACGGGACACGTAAAGTGCGGAAGGGCGATGTGCGCTTTCAACGCGCTGTTTGTCTGTTCTACCTGGGTTTACGGGAAGATTGACGTAGCTAAACGGGGCGCGGCATTTTGCAGCTGTTACAACAAAAAAGTCAAAAAGAAAGTTGATAGGACCAATAGGGAATAAGCACTACAGCGGAGTAGCCACTGTAGAAAGACGCTGTGGGCTGATCTCATCGTGCACCTCAAGGTTATACAGTGCACAACACAATAAATTCAGAACGATTCATTCCGGAAGTAAAAAATTTCCTCATGTCAACTGGGTTATATCAACGCTGACGGTCTTACCGATGATGAGACACGCTTCCAAAAAACACCATAAAGAGACCACCTCACGATGGTGTGTCTCCCGTTTTAGCCTGTAACTACGAGGGCGTTAATACCACCTGGTTACCCGTGCCATAAGGAATCGATCGGTCAAGATGAACTCAAAAGGCACACTGACTGCCCAGGTCGAGAACTCCGACCGCACACCAAAATCAGTTGAATTAAAGTTAATAGCATAGGTGGTGACCAACCTTGAAGCGGACCGCAAAGGTTTCACGAACGGCTGAACCTTCACTGTAATCTTCCCCAATCCAGCACAAGCCAGTGTTACCCATTGGCTTGAACATTGGAACGTCCGATCCAATCAGCTGATTTATACAAAGTTTCAACACCTGGTCACGCCGCATCAGGAGTCGAGAACGGTCAACGACACCGAGATCAACGTCGTTTGGCACGATTTCCTTCGACCCAAGTTTACATCCATTGGGAACGGACTGAGGTTGGATTAGAACTTTGATATTGCCCACACCTCGCTCTTTCCAAGCGCCATCCACAAATCGGTAGGCACGACAACGCCCAAAGAATAGACACAGTTCTGATTCCTCTCCGGATTTTGTCTAGAAAGGATTTACAGAAGAATAATCCACTCAAGTTCTTGGCTCAGTATAACACCAAGAGTGCAAGCCTACATATGCACAGAATAAGTACAGGACCGCCAAGATTGATTCGGCAACTGACCCAAATAGTCCAAAAATCTTTGCAGGATTTCAATGTGTTTACAATGAACAAAAGATCCATTGGGAGCTATAAAACGTTACAATATACAAGCTGTTTAGATGTAACAGACCCGGAAAATTGGCGTGAGAAATGCCCATAATCTTTCTTGTTTTTTCTTTATTTAAGTGTTTTCGCGATTCGAGAAGGCTAATCAGCACTGAATTGTTATCAGAGCTAACAGGCACATGTGTGTCACGAGGGGGGGGGCACAAAAATTGCTTCGTACAATTGAAAGACATTGTTCCCTTGAGACTGGGCACACATGTGCGCCATCCGCTGTCCCGTAAAAGATAACCTGTATCAGTCAAAAAGCTACTACAATGCGAACGAGTAAGACTGGCTACTAATGCTGTAGTCAGTGCATCAGCCGTAAATAGAATACTATTTTCCATTTCAAATCTGAATTATTTTGGCTACTAAAAGATAAGTCGGGAACAAAACTTTGACAGCCCCGATAAGGTTATTCGTACTGTGCTAGTTATCTTACAAGTTACAGGTAAGACATGAATTAAAATAAGAACATCAGAGTAAATGGGAAAAATACGACGAACTTTTAATACAATACATTATGTCCTTTAGTTCTATAAGTCGTTCCATTATATTTTCACGAAAATGCTATAGGATATTTACCTGTCTGTGTAATCCCTAGTACGGCAAAAACATGGAGAGAAAGTGTGACCAATTGCCAAACTCGCATTGTATAGCTACCAACATACGGGTAAGCTTCACAGCGTGTTATCAAGGTTCGTACGAAATAAAGAATGGAAACATCGGTAGACCGGCATACCTGAACGAGTTCTGGCAGTGAGATAATGGGTTCATAATGGGGATCTTGTTCCCCGGACTCCTCTGTTCCATTCTCCACCTCATGTTTCTTTGTATGTGCTGCAAACATGGGGGTTGTTGCGCTAGGCCAAACACTCTGCTGTGTCTTGGACTCAGCTGATGGAGAACCCCAAGTAGGCTTGCTGTCGGAAGATAAGTTTGCGCTCAGCGAAGAAAAATCCAGCAGCTTTCCAGCCGATTGGGAGAAGCCATCGAATGCTAAAAAAACGAGAAACAACGGCATAAGTAACTCGATAAAAAAGATAAAAGCCGGCGGAATTCTCAGGGAGCTCAGTTAAAAAGGAACCAAGCCAACTGCAAACTAAAAGTAGACCAGGATCACCTTCAACCACAAGGTGGAAAGAAACTATTCAATGTAAAATAGCTTGTCGAACTCCTCAAGAACAGTAGTCTCAACCGAAAATCAGGTGAACTGCAGACAGCTTACACAGACACGGAGAAGCCGAAACAGGAATGTGTTTCTGTGGTATTGCATTGCTCAATATTCTGATTATTGGTCGGTACGGGTAAAAGCGCAACTGAATCGGCTTCGAAACCGGTGGGATAACCGGAATCACTCGGCAGCATATGGTCACAGGACTTAAAAGCGATTGTGACCGCCCATTGTAGACCAGCTCGTCAAAGTATGTTGCTGAAAGTAGTGAATAAGCTCAAATGAAGTGAAAGAAAGCTGAATCAATCACGTTCCTTTTTGGTTTGCCAGATCCGTTCTAGCAATGGACGAATAAGACCTTGTTGGTTGGTTAGCCCAATCATGGGTTAATTTACTACAACCAAGTCCCTTTCTTCGAGAACACGTCAAATTGGTCGTACAGTGACAGATATGTGTGGAATGAACTTCTGCATTTTACCTACCAACAAGAATCCTACAGCTGGATACGTAGGTGGTAGGACACCCACCGATCTGTTGGTCGTGCAACTGTTGGCTGCACGGTCTAGCCAATAACGGACGGCAACTTGAGACCGGGGGAGGGTACTAGGAACGAACGCATATAACACGGAAGGAAAGTAATCATATTTGACGGAGCCAATACGATGTTTAAAGAGGATTCGTTTTCCTCGAGTAGTTTTTAACCCCCCGGTAAGAAATGTGAACTCGACTGCGTCGACAGCGATTCACGATATCAAAGAAGTTCAATCACCCTTTTCCAACAACAGTTATCATAAAGTAAAGTAAGCAGGATAGGCGCACAGTTGGAAGCACAAATCAAATCAACTGTGTCGAAATTATGGAAACGAAACCAACCTGAGTTCAGTTGAGTTCCTCCCGATGAAACCAATAAACCTGTGGTTGTGCCATTGGTGAAACCGGGAACTCCTGAAGAAGTAGATACAGATGGTGTAGGAGTGGGTGCAGTGTCGCCTTGACTGGAAACAGTAGGAAACGCACCAGCCCCTTCGGTCTTGGGTACACGGTCACTCTCAGATTCACCAGAATTAGCAGGCCGTTGACAAGCGTTGACCGCCCTTCGAACAGCAGCTTCTAACAAAGCATCCTCTTCGGCTTCCTCTTGTTCAGTTAATGGTTCTGCCTCGCCAGAAACACAACCGTTTTCGAATGCATAGAACTCATCGGGTAACCGAAGTTGCCGGGCGCGCGACAGCTGCTCTTCAGTCACCTGACAAGAAAAATGCCAAGGTTAGGCTGGGGTGTGAAGGACTCACTGAAGTATGGAATGCGCCAAGTACTACTGAAGTAGTTCATTTCTCGGAAGGGGGCAGCTGCGCCAAATTAGTACACGGAAAAGTCATGACAGAAAAAGAACACGAACAAGCGTAAGCACTTTCAATTGCAAGCACATCGGGACAAAAAAAATTCACCAAACACAGAGTATGACGAAACGTATGGGTTACTTCGTAGACACAAGATGCTTCATTCTCATCCGAAACGAAAACGGTCCAGCACTAAACCAAGGAAAAAACAGGGACCAAAAAATAAAAATAAAAACACTAGCAATTTCAGTATGCAGTGATGTCAACATCGTGAGTAAAACCATTTGTATCGATCTCACTTTGTAGGTTAATTGGCTGAATAGCTGTCCATATCCCAACAAATATTCGTATGGATGACAATGATTCAGAGTAGTGGTAGCTCACTTAGGTATCAGATCCATCAGTCTAGCCTACAGATGACGGTCATGAGTCGCAAAAAATCAGCAGTGAAAGAGACGTGGATCGATTGGACACGAACTAAACCATTGTGGCAGCATCCATAACATGCGATTCTCGAGGACACTTCACTAAATTAGCTCTGGCGTGTGAGGCAACCAGAAAAAGGTGAGAACATCAAAAACGAGAGATTCAGTTGGCTTCAAGGTGTATCCCGTCAAAACCAAATTGGTATGCAGATGAGTGTATGAGTCAAAAGGCAGACAATGTTCAGGAATGGTGGAATGGTTAATTAGACCAAGTGAATGCTTGGGGTGGGTTTCAGGCTGACTGATAGTCTATTAAGACTAAATCCCATCTTCGGAGAAATCTCCGCATGATAAACCACCTTGGTCGGTCTCCCAGCCTTTCCTTCAAAAAGTCTATCACTGTACACAGACATGATAAAAAACTAATCACTGCATGCAGAGGACGATTGAGATACCGCTAGCCTTCGCAAGCCCAGAAAGGAGAAATGGGAAAACTGTCGTTGGATTTGAACCACAGACCCTCCAGTCAGTAGGTTTGTGTTTTAATCGCTGAGCAATTTTGTGCTGGCTAATGCAGTGCGGCATGAAACAACTGGTAAATTGCGGGCTACTTGACAAAGGGACTAAAGGGCAAAACAACCCTGACATGAATGACGAAATGTCACAATAACTCGGACAAACTTCACTAGTTATGCGTACTACTATTGTTGTTCATTCTTAGCCACAACAAAGTCTGGAGTATGGGAACAAATGACATGTAAACTATTTAGGCTTCAATTGTGGTCTTTGGAAGTCAGTATGTTTGGTGCTTGACATGATATGATTTTAACGTGATGTCAGGATGTAACGTGAAGACCTCCCGTGTGGCCGGAATTCCGCTTGAAGCTCCGTGGCCTCCGCACCGGGTGCGGAACTTAGGCGTCGGAAGATTATGGGAGTCACTAGCCGAATGAATGGAAATTAGGTAATATGACTGCACCGGTCGCTATGAGCACTTTTCGTTTAAAAAACAGTTGCTGGTTGATCTCGATTGTGCGGCATCAGCAGTAGCAGCATTGGAAGTAATACACTGGTAAAACATACTGGCGCTCGGCTGTCACATGACCATGGGGAAGAAAGCCTTAGTAAGAAGTGGAAAGGAAAGGGTAGAGAATTGGTACAAAGGACTCACATGCTCTTAGGAAAGACGACCAAAAGTAAAGTCGTGAATAGACTAATATGAATGCAACGTCGAATGAAGGAACCATCAACGAGATTGACCCAGCACCCTTTAAACCTCACTACACAAAATCCTAGCTTGCAACGGACAGCGCAGACAAACTTTGGAAGTGACAGCATGCGCGCCGCTGGGGTTGGTCATTTGCCTCGTCCTGCAGGGTTTCAAGCAGCACATAAGCAGGCTAACGTGACTCTCAGCCAAGAAAGCGCGACGATCCAACAGCAATCAATGACTGTAGCCGACTTCATTTCATGCTGCCATGTCATAACCTATCCCCCACGAACGTTTCACTAACAATCACTTGGAACATATACGCATTTGCGTATATGTAATACATGCACCAACAACCCTAACCTTAACCTGTTGCTCTGTGGATTCCAACTCGTTACCAAGTAACAGCTTACGCACCACTCTGTCGCGTAATCGCCACAGCCGATACAACCTTGAAAAGTTACGAAGACACCGGTTACCACAGGTCTTGATACGCTTGAATCCCAACGATTACAAGGGCCAGTCTTATAATCATAAATTAAAGTCGCCCTCAAAATTGTCAGGTATACACGGTCCCCTAGGTACAGCGAAACTCATTTCTGATGCCGAAAACGATATAAGTTGACGAACGCTGCCGCGCCTCGGTCATTCACGCACTGATTTCACTTGTTACCTTAGGACCAAGGTTTTTGCTGTCGTCGAAATCGTAATATTTCCGAGAGTGGGAAATCCTGAATTGAGACTTCGCACTTTGAACGTGCAAAGCGCATGTTGAAACACGGGACGGCCGGCAATAACCTAATCAGGAAGCTTTGAGGGGACAAATAATCACCAAATAAAACGATGTCGTCCGTCTATCAGTCCCTTTTTCAGCGTCGTTTTATTAGTTGTTTACTCCATGACAACGTTGATGACAAAACTAGGCAGAAACGGAGAGAGGAAATAAGTCCGGAGAAATTCAGTAGCTCTGAGTTTTTAGAGAGGTTATTGCACACCCGGGATAAGCTCTTGTTACGAGGTAAATTTGAAATTCGTTGGGCAACAATGCTTTCAACTCGGTTGGTGACAGCTCACCTAACTATGTAGCTCTATAGTATTTCGAGGAAGTAGGGAGTAGTGGTATTTTAGCTCACGCACGATCACAAGTCAGGTTCGGCGGGTAAAAGGCGTAGAGGTAAACAGCCAACTTAGGTTTTATTTCACCCAGCAAACATTTACCTATCCCAATAAAAATTCACTTCTTCAGACTTGTTTTTCTGACTAAAAAACGCTTTTCTTAACTTTGAATTGCACTTATCTCCACTTCTTGAATTCCCTCATTAGTCATCTAGCCTGAAGAGATGCACTACCTGGTATGAAGCAATGAAAGTTGACGTTCCTGCAGTTGCCATATACATGCTCAGGAACACCACCTGCCTCGTCCCTACGGGTACTCATGGCAATGGTTATATCCTCTTAAGTACAATCGAAGTCCGCTGAGAAGAACCAAGTACTATGGTAAATTAGCCAAAATCGCCGTATTTAGGTGGTTCTAGGAAGGTGAACATGGAGAGTACTGCTAAGGTGTACGTAGTACAAACAAAAACCTTTATCAAACAATGTGAGTGCGTCCAAAAACTGCTGTGACTTGCGCCTGTGGAGTGTGATTTATAAGGTAAAGTGTCTCCACGGGCACCTTTTAATGGCAAGTAGCAAGTGTCCATCGTAGTTTAGCCTACCAACCTTGTGAGCGACAACTGGTCCTAGAAGCGATCAGAGTTACAGAGTCGGGATGTTTAAAGTGAACATTGGGGAAACTAAATTTGGGGTCCGCCGTCACCGTCAGTAAGGACGAAAATATATTTTGGTACTTAATTGTTAGAAAACCATGGTGAAGGTTCCTGTAAAGTGCAAAAAAAGGAGAGATGGGAGCTTATTCAAAAAAACGTGCCCCGACGATAAGGGTCGGGGAAGTTCAAGACGTCTGCCGCTTTGAATAGCATCAGGATACAGACATCTGAGAATCGTGTTGCAATAAAACGCCGTCAATAGCCTTGACCCGGCGGACCTCACTCAATCCACACAACACAGACTTAAACTATGCTGTCCCACTACGAGGTGTGTTTGTCACTGGGACTGGTTACGCGCGATAACTTGTAGGCAGGTACCCCAGTTATTTGAGGTTCGCGTAAACACCTGTAAGTTCCTTCTAGGTGAGTTCGGCAACCCATTCCCAAACGCAGGCTAGATGATTGATTAGTAGCACAGTAGCTGAACGAAGTTCCGAGCAAGATGCAATAATGATGCAGAGGTTAACGCACTAACTGTGATATTCAACAAAACTAGGGGGACGGGTTAAGATGAATCGGCGAGTTTGCAATATGAAGGGACTGAAACGGATCGACTCACCTCGGGAGGCTTCTCAACTACGCATACATCGTCCGAATCGGAAGGTTCGTTCTGAACGTCTAAATCAACGGTCTGGATTTTCGTCGCCAACTCCTGTGTAGCAGTACTTGATTTGGACTTCTCCGCTTTTGCCACCGCGTCGCTGAAAATATCCTTAAACAGCTGAGCATGTTCTGTCGTTTTGAATCGAACAGCAAAAGTTTCTGGCCTACCACCAGCGACGTCAATGGATAGGCTGCGGTCCATGGACTTATTCATCGCTTCATCCGGTGAAGGTTCAGTGAAATCGATTGCCCACCACGTCCAAGCGCGTCCATCAGTTGCACTCATCGGTTTAAGCTGCATACCAGATGTGATGGGATGGTTGCAGCAAACTTTGAGCACGTGATCACGCCGCATCAAACAACGCACTGAGCCAGTAGATGGGTTACGGAGTAATTTTAGCTCGCCCACTCCTCGTTCACGCCAGACCGATACGTCCCATCGATAAAGTTTGGCCCGTTCACAAAATATGATATCTTCATTTTCTTCACCAGTGCGGAGCACTACCTTGTCTGGCATCACCGCCAAAGCTGGTTTAAATGTTAGCTTCTCCTCATCGACTAACTCTACCTGATCTGTGTCCAGATTGTCACCGCCTTTCGTTGGACTAGTAACGGTTTTACTGGTATCCTTTTCAGTTTTACTGGAACCGAAATTGAAACTGAATCCACTAGTTTTACCCAGACCATTGAGAAGGTTCAGAGATGCGAAAGCACCCCCAGCTTTATCCGTTTTCTCAGATTCCACACAAGGACCTGTGGCTGGAGTGCTAGATGTGGGGTCCCTCCCGAAATAAAAAACCGACGGTTTAGTAAAACTTGATGATAACGGCTTTGTATCGGCTGCTAGCGATTCAGTGCTCGAAACCACTTTTGTTGTGGCACAGCCCTGTGGTGGAGACGGGGTGAACAAAGTGGTCGGCTTCGACGCACTACCAACAAAGCTGAACAAGGGCTTGGATGAGGTGACGGTTGCAGTATCAGTTGTGGATGATGTAGGTTTCGGTTGACCGAAGACGAACCCTCCACCACCCATGACGAAGCCTCCAAACAGCTGTGTAGATGAGGGTGCCTTGGAAGACTGGGCTGAACTACCACTATTTGGTTTGGCAGTGTTACATGCCGGACATGTTTGGACTGTGCTGGTGTGATGGAGCATGCAAGTTGGACAATCCCACGAACCAGGCTGAGGGGCAAACTTTAGAAGCAGAGGATCTTTGGCAGGAGCAGGTTCAGACTTTGGTGTTTCGTTAGGATTGACGGGCTTTACCGTCTGACAAGCGACGCATTTACTGGTGCCAGGTGCATTTCGCACCAAGCAGACAGAACAATTCCATTCGCCCGGTTTTGGACCGAATTTAGCATTCAAATCGATCGTTTCCTCCCTGTGAGCCTCCTGAGGATTTGACTTAGGGACGGTCGTGACAGAAGATGCCGCAGTTGTGGTCGATGGCGCGGGTGCACTTTTGCTTGCGCACTTGGTAACACATTCGCGCACAACGTCTATAAATTGCTGAAGTAACTCAGTGGATTTGAACTGAATCATAAATGTTTCGTCTTTTCCTTCGGGACATTCGGCGTAATCTCGTACGGCCCACATAGCCATTCTAGGATCTTTAGTACTAATCGTCACATGTACATTGCTCGTTATCGCATGATTGGCACACAGTTTCTTCACCTAGAAAAGAGAGTGCATGAAAAGTGAGTGGTTACAGATTGCCTATTGAAACTACATCAACTGGACCACACAAAGTGGTCAGACGCGACAAACGAGTTAGTGTTCTACAGAAATCGAACCAAACGAAAGCTGCCTTGGTTGGTCAGAATATTACCCAATCTGGATCGGGCATCAATAGCTCGACGTCACTCGCCTCCTCACCAAGATCTCAGCGCTACCGTGTGGAATATTCTGTGATAATCCTATACATACTGCTGTAATAATCTTCATGTCTCCATAAAATGCTGTCTCCAGCTACCCTGCCTTTTGATGAACTATAGTGGACGGAGCAGGAAGCCAAGAACCGACGAGCAAGTTGCACAATTGTCCGCAAATCACAAAAGCAGGAAAAGATAATATTTCAGTATGACAGCCAGCAGCAGGAAGGAACCGACGAGCAAGTTGCACAATTGTCCGCAAATCACAAAAGCAGGAAAAGATAATATTTCAGTATGACAGCCAGGTGTAAGTGGACTGAAAAATGTACAAAATCTATGAGCACCGTAATATTAGAGCTACGATAGTAACGACCAATTCGATTGCTCTATAGTCAAGTGGCCATGTTTGTCGGCACCTAACACGGCGCACCGGTTGCGCAGATAAGCCAGGTGATGCACTGATTACTCTGATAAATTGATTATTCAAAAAATCAATATAACAATTGAAATTTGATAATTTATTGGTGCCCCTTGGTACGTGCGACATGACACTAACTGACCTACCGCTACCCATTGGCGAAGCAGGAGGGAGAATTAATATTAGAGTTCAGTTAATCAAAGTTAACTGAGGGAAATATTCACGTACACAGTGAGTGCTCTGTGAGTAACAAAAATAATTCGAGTGGAGCTGCGATGTTTTTCCAAGTCAACGACGAGTGATTGATGAACTGCAACAGCCAGACCCAGCATAGCCGACAGTCTGGTTAGAAAACTTGAGTAGACGAACTCTAGTACAAATCGCATCATCGCAGATACCCAATATCCTTCAGTGCAGAACATTTGAAGTGGGCCGGATTAGCCAGGCGTATTGACCAGAAAATTAGTCATACTGCAAGAATCCAACTCCGTAACAAATTAAGACTGCATTTGATAGAAAAATACAAGATTAAATACTGGAGCTTACTTGGTCCCGACGCATCACAAGTCTATATTTGTCACCTCCTATATCATGCAAAATGCGCATCTCACCAACGCCACGAGTTTTCCATGATCCAGTCGGTTTATCGAAGCGAAAAAGACGAGCACGATCAGCGAACAAACGTTCCTCATTTTCCTCTCCCGTATATTGTTCGATTAAATCTGGTAAAGAACTCACAACTGGCGTGAAATCGACCTTGGGTTCGTACGCTTCCGGGCACTGGTCCGAGTCCTCTTCATTGCGAGAGGTTGACGGCGACTTCACACTACCACCGTTGGCCTGCTGTGGCGAGCTGTGTCCGAAAGGTTTCGTCGAAGATGACAAACTGATGCTACTAGGAGTGGAGCCCGAGGTACTGAGGTTTTCCAGTCCAAACAAAGATGGCTTTCAAAAGAGGGGAGATTGGGAACATAAATTCGCATCAGCCGACCAAACAGAGAGGCGATTCACAGGCGATCGGCCGTGGTACGTCGAACGCTCAATGATCAATGTGGTGCATAAATGACTGCAGTAAGATGCTATGTTGCTTTATTCACTTATCATTGTAGACGCATCGTAAGACCAGAAAGCATGGACTGGAACAGGCAACAGGAACAGTTGCTACATAGACTACCGATCATCAAGCATAGTCGGGGAATCACTGAAAGCCAGTCCCAATTAAACCATGTTTAGCTCTACGCACCAGTAACAAGAGGAAAAAGAAGCGAAAATAGCTGTTTTTTAAGAGGAATGGATTCGAATCTCGATGCATGAGGTCCATCCAGCAAAAGGAAGTAATGTTTACGAGGAATAATTTGCTCCCGTTTTCTTGGTGTAGTGCACTTCGTCAGCCAGCACTTCGAACTGAGTGAGGAATGAGTGTCGCTCGATACATTGAAAAACAGCAATTCCAGTCCCAAAGGAAACTGTTAACCTCCACTCCAGTCACGTCGTCGTGGTTGGACTCAGGAATGATCTTGAGGCAACAGATCCTATGGCACATGTATTCCACCTATGTTTATCAGTCGAAATAAATAGATGTAACCACCTGAGACTGCAGACTGGTGGCGAAACTTATGCCCACATATAATGGTAGTAAGTTGAAATCGTTAGACTGAGAACCAAGAGACTGAACTGAACACTGGGAGTTTATTCATTAGGATCGGCCTTTGGAGGGCGTGATTGCGTTGAAACACTTCGAAAACATCGGAGGCGAAGTTTGTCTGGCAGTACCGCCTAGGAGAACAAACCAAAACCGACATACCACAATCACGGCCGATAAAGGGTGTCCACTATTTTGAAAGGACTATTCTCGTTAAAAGTGAACAGCCATTTCCTTTGTCGTCATAAATCTTGAGTAAATATCGTCGCATGCGAAACTGGTAGATGTATATGACCGAATTTCATACTACTGCTGACTTAAGTGGAACTGTGATAGGAAAGTAATGAATCCACTTTAAATTACCCTGATGAGACGAACATACTTTTGCCGGTGTGCTCGCAGATGCTAGGGTTCCTTTTGTTTCAATGGGTGCGGTCCGTGAAGACATTGTGGCACTAACTGTTGAGGGCTGAAATAATCCAAGATTATGCAGCGGCTTAGGTTCCGTAGGAGCATTTGTTACAACGGGCTGAGCAGGGTGATTAGGACTGTCAGTACCAGAACCGATTTGTGGTCGAGAACCGTGAGTTTGATTAGGGCTGTCAGTACTAGAACCGATTTGTGGTCGAGAACCGTGAGTGGACGGGGAAGCCGAAGTGTTTGGATCCTGGCGGGGACGATCTGAGCCGAAAGTCAACTGGGCTGGAGACTGAACCACACTAGTGGGTCGAATCGGTGGAGTGATTGACGCGGTGAGGAACGACTGTTCGGTTACATCTGGTCTGCCAGATGGCTTGGGAACAGTATCCCGTCGAAGAGGCGAGTTCTCCCAGGCTAAAAAAAACGAAATAGATTGAATCAAACCATAATGCTCACAACAGGAAAATGGAGTTGAATGTTTTTGACTAATCTACCAACAGAGCTGCAAACTACTGAATAGCCCGGCGAACTGAGCGCACTTTATGGCAAGTTTAACTGTTGCTGATTTTTGGGGGAAATACTAGTTTCATCCGGCTTGGTACTGTTCGTGCAAACGTTTCGTTAACATTTGATGTTATTTCCTCAGATCAGTTATACTGGTTCTGGGTTGATGACCACACGACTTTCAGCAATAAAAGAATGATAGGGTTCCCCATAATTTAAACATTCAGTGCAATTTCATCCTGCCTTGATATCCGCATTCAAAACGTTATACCTCTCGGCTCGAGTCCGTACAGGTTTGACAAACACCGATCATAGATGTTCACACAAACTAGAGACGTATCTTACATGGATCGACCTTTAAATTGCATTTCCTTTTCAAATTTGTCTACCATCCAGTAGACAAAGGTGTCGAAAAATTGGTAGCATTCAGTGGTCGTTGACCTATTAATCCATATTAGTAATTGGTTTGTAAGAGTTTCTTCGCCGATCGGGGAAGCATCGTTAACGTGTGAACGCACTCCGTCATCTATAGAGGAAAATGTTGGTAGCTCAGTTAAGGTAGATGGTCGTTTGCTTGTTCGCTGAGCTGGGCAATTTGATTGCAAACGTTTCATAACCAATCGGGGTGACCTCGTCAGTGCGTTATTGGGGAGCGCGGTGGTACGTAGCGGTGGGTTAGTGGTAGATGAGGTCACCACGATTGGTGATGAAACGTTTGCACTCAAACTGCCCAGCTCAGCGAACAAGCCAACACCATCGACACTCCATCATCGCGATTAGTAACGCAACATCTGCAAACCATATATCGAGCTCGAGGTTCACTGTGTACATTAGTAACCATCTTAATTAGCTCAGGAGTTAAGGTGCGAGCGTTCAACCGGAGACACCGTGTTTCGAATCTTTTCTTGATCTCTTCATTGCTCCCACCGAGACGTGGGCGGTCTGGCAGTATCTTGGCTTCTACTAACATCCTGCAGGTAGTATGGTGTTGAAAGGACACCCTGAGAAGCTTCACATCAATAACAGTTGGTACAATTTGATCTTTACAAGCCCTTCTGAGACGGTAAACTCAAGAGTAATATGAACCCTTTTCTCGACTACCTACAAAATCAACCATCCAGTTTTACTTCCCCCTCTTATGTTACTGGAAGGTAGGCAATTCGGTTGGATAGATAATTGTACAGCCCTTGTTCGGGCATATAATTCACGACCCGCAGACTCATATCCAGAACAATCAATTACACTGAGGTGAGAGGACCAGGCTGACTGGTCTACGAGGCAATCCAGAGCATTCTACATAAGGGAAACCCCAGCAAACTCAAAGTTCGAAGGCTAGTAGAATGATGATGACTTTATAACGAAAGCCACCTCAGAATGAGTAAAACGTACGGGATAAACAAACTCTACTCATACGTTAATCCAGCCAAATTACATACATTATTACATCACATTCGTACTGAATAAGATGCGCATTTTGGAAACTGATCAACAGTTAGACTAAACCTGTTCGTGTGCTTGAAATCGTATGTAAACAAACTAGAATGACCGGAAAGCATAGTCATACACAATAGGTCCCATGGGTTCTACTTACTGGAGGGTGCAGAGGTTCCAGGAAATAGCGAAGCAGACGCAAGCAAAGAGTTTGGCTGACGTGTGAGGCCGGTTGTTTGATCGGATTGATGGGTGACGAAATCAACTCCACCATTTTGTTGAACTGTGGATGAGACATGAGTAGCTGCAATCCCACCACTAGGTGCTCGAGGTTTAAATTCAGCAGGTACATGGACAGGATTGTTACTTGCGGGATGGAAGAATGGCGTCCGCCAGCTGACGGGGACAGACTGCACGGGTATCTGATTGAATGTCGCAAATGGAGCATTCGGTCCGCAAAACTGCATGAGAGCTGCAGCTTCTGCGCTATTAAACACTGCTCTGGACGTGGAAATCTGTGGTGAAAAATGCGCGCTAACAGCTGCACTGGCAGCCGCGGCCATGCCCTCCGGTAGCCAACGTCGTAGATCGTTAATGGCTAGGGAGAGATCACGGATCGGACTCTGAAGAAGCTTTATAGCATCGGTAAAGTTATCGGAGTTAGCGGCTGCGGTGGAAGACTGATTCGACTGCTTGCTTAATTTCTCTTGGCATTCAACAAACTTGTTAATCGCCTCGGCCAATTGTTTGCTCGTATCGTTCAGTTGTTTCGATAGCTGTTCGTTAAGCTGACGGCTCCGAGACAATTCGGCTTTTGTTTCAGCCAGTTGGCAAGAAAGACCATTCACTAAACTTTGCCAGGTACTGAGGAAACTTGACATAAGCATTTCCTGAAAGTTAAGAGTAGAATAGCTTTAGGCAGAGTTGATGCGAATTTCTTCAAGGAAACTAAAAAGACGTCCCTACCGGTGGTAGGAAGTTCGATGAACCATTTATACCGTATATAAAAGTACTGGAAGTGGTACAAAAGGCAAAGGAATAAAAAATATGAAGAGTCCGAGTGGCAAATTTTAAGCGATAAATAGAGACCAGAAACGAGAAGCCAAGTACCTGAGACCGGCTAAGAACATCATACTGCGAAGAGTCTAGTTCGTCCGTTGATTCAGCAGCAGCCGGTACAATTAGACGTATATTTGCATGTGTTTTATCCTCCACCCTGAAATCTTCGTCCGGCTGTCGATTACCCAGGCGCCTACCACTGGCGTGAGGTGTACGCGGTGAATGAATGTACGGAAACTCAACCGTGTCATTGAGACGGGAACCCAGGATAGAATTACCAGGAGAAGATGACCGGTTGACAATGAGACTGGTAGAAACCGAGTCTGTCCAAGTAGATGGCCGAAAACGGAACGGTGTGTTCTTGCTGACGGACTGGGGTGTGTGCCAATCCGCAGGTGAACGCTGTAACACAAGTAGCGATATTCACATGAACTGGGGGAAAACTTGATACGGTCATAAGCTGGCAATAGACAATGATTCGAGAACTCACGTTATCGATGGTTAGGGGTGATTGCGACGAATGCTCCAAATAAAACCGAGCACGCTGCGCGTTGTTCAGAGGATCCCCGGCTACCGAATTGCTCACATTATCAGCATAAGCATTTGCTTCGTCATAGCCAAGGACTCGATTTTCCGGAGTGCAGGTTAGTAGCAGCTGTCCTCCTAGCCTGTATGCTTCACGACTCAAGTGGACATCAAAACCATCTAACAAGCGTATCAGCCGACGCAGAATAGCCTTTCCATCATCCGAAACGCAGCCGCTCTCTTTCGATCGTCGCGTTAATTGTGTGAGCAAACAGCAGACCCCATAGTTGAACCAATACCACTCGACCTCCTTCGAACTGTCCGGATTTTGAACCCCCAACCACCAGTTACAGTCCGACGGTAAATTGAACAAGACATGATAGATTTGCTGGGATCCAGGGCTATCCATCGTGGGCAAACTGTAGCCGGGTGACGCACGACTGAAACGTGGAAGATCCAGATAAGATGATCAGGGGTTTTCTCACAAGAGGCACGTTTGTGTAACCAGAACCATACTCAAATACTAGTGATTGCACTAAACGGCTGAATAGTAGACAGTGAGAAATGGTATGTAAGCGATTCTGTGAGTCCCCTATTACTGTTAGCATTTATGGATGTGGCCTAACGTTCAGCTTTCAGCATTCCTACAGCCAGTCACAGCAGTTTGGATTCGTACATAGTGACTAAATAGATCATCCAAACAGAGAAACCACAAGCACGACCGTTTGTGCGTCATCCGTAATCCATGTGATCGGTAACAGCAACACGACAATCCCACTGAAGTGATCTTGCGTAGTCTGTTTATTAATGCCAAAAATATAGATGAAATGCTTGAGTTTACGCAGTGGAGTCATGAGTTCTCTCGATTTCGCAAACGTTCCTGTGAAAAGGCTTTACTTCTGACAGTGCATACAACAATGAACCAGGTCACTGTAAATCTCATCAAAGGCCCTATGTATTACACTACCTAGAAAGTTGCATCCTGTCGCTCAGGACAGTGTATGTGCCCGAGCACGCAGGAACCGTACGGGTTTTTGCTAACGTGTTGGTGTGCAGCGGAGGTGGAATACCGAAGGCCTGGTATTGTAAAGCGGCTTGCCAATAGCCTGCAGCCCAATCTTCAATTAGATGCTTCCGCTCCGTCCCAGATGCCTTGTCTGCTAGGAAGGTGAGAGCGCTAGCCACTCGAAACAACAGCGCCGTCGGGAAGATACCAGACTGTTTACCAAAACAGCGCGCCGGACGAGCAACCAGGCGAAGTTGATTCAAACCGCAGTTAAAGATAGGCGGAGTTCGCATCGGTCGCACAGTATTTCTAAGACGGGCGTGAAAAAAAAAGAAAATAGGTCGAGTTATATTGCTGGAGGATCAAAGCAATCGGCAGTCATCATCGTGGAGTTAACTAACCGCACGCGGACGGGGCACATAAACTGAGAAGAAACAACAGACTGAAATAGGTCGAAAAACTAAAAACGTACTCTGCTGTGTGAGGGAGTGTCACCCTCAGACATGCTGTCCACCACTGTTTTTGAGCGACATTTGGCTGTAATACGGTTGGTGTTATGCAAACCGGAGACTTGACCCATTGTGATCCGACGCCTGTGCTCGAAGAAGTACCAGCCAAACTACGTATGGCTGCCTGTAAGAATGCAGCCAACAAAAAACATACCAAATCCAGCTGGCACGTAGTATCCGCGGGAACAGCGACGGCGTTCTGGGACTCAGTGAACGGCAGTGGCAAGTTTGACACATCCAAACCCGGGAAACATGTTGATACAACTGAAAGTAGGGTAAAGATATGCAGATAAGTTTTGGAACTTAAGACACAGCACTCGAAGAGCATTATCAAGCGTGATGAAGTGCAACTCGATTCGTCTTGCAAATTAAATGCAACCCCGGTGAAGCCAAAGCTACAAAAGTGGGTCTTCTGGACGAACCTGTCATCTTTCAGCAAAGCGGCTCATCCTACAATGACTTTTCCCAGCCAACCGTAGGCTCCAAGTAGTCAAATCCTGGTACACCGTTTTGACAAGCATTCCAAACAAGGAAGTCATGAAACTCTTATGACACCGAGCGAAACAGGTGACACCAACGCCCGCGCACTAGGTGACGTTCAGTATTAAAACAACAACCAGAATGACAGTTCCGTACAGGCAACGGGCTCAGGTAAAAGAAAATGTTCTACGCCTTCTTGTTGCTAGCAGGCAAAGTGAAACCACATAAGGACCTGAGATGAACTAAACAACTCACCCCCTTACAATGCGATGCGGTGATTTAAGCTTGATTTTTTGGTCCGGCTTGAAAATGAGAGCTAGAAAACCAGCGTTTGCTAGTTCAAAATTGAGCAACTGAAAGAACTTATGACTCCGCACAACTCAACACACTGGGGGATACGAGAATCGTAGACTGACACGTGTCTCGTGTTTGAATGACTAAATGGATCAAGATCGAATGGCCCCATCTACGTTGCATGACCTGGTACTGAGTAGCATAAGCACAAACGGCACTGGTGACTCAGCGTTGTGTTCGCATTCGCATTCGCAAGTTCATTCGGACAAGAGGGGTGAAAACTCAAGCCCAATAGCTTGTAGCGAAATATCAGGTTGGAGAAGCGACAGTCTATTGTTATTATTGAATGTCAGTACGCCACGTAAACGACAGCTTCGAAACATGAGCGCCAGCGGCTGCGCCATGACTGTGTCGTCCCAGAGTCCTAACACATGGAAATAAGGAAACTAGTTCGTTGGCTAAACTTTTCACGCCCAGCTGTCAAGTCACATCCCTGCTACCTCAGGTACTGCTTCAAACCAAAAAAATTGCAGTATTGAAATGTTAGTGAGGTGGGTGATCGTCCGTCCGATGAACCATGGGTATTCTGTGCCCGTAGTAGTCAATTTTCGGGACATAACAAAATAAGGTGAACTACAGGGTCATGTGAAATACCAAGTATACGCCATGAGCGCCGGTAACGGGGAAACCCAAAACCAATGCCAAATGTGGTTCTTCCTTTACCAGACTTTTCACTGGAGATCAATTCAGTTGACCCGTACGACCGGTCCCCGGAAACCACCTGTGAGTGAAAGCACCAAACACCGGAATGGAACGACCATCTCGAACAAAGAAGAACGCCTCGACCGGTGGGCCAAATACTTCGAACAACAACTGTCGTGGCCACCAGCAGGCACTCATCTAGGGCCCACAGGTGAAGTAGAACCCTGGACGGTGAACATGGAACCACCTACGGCCTCGGAGGTTTACGATTCCATATGTTCTCTCAAGTGCCACCGAGCTCCCGGTCCGGGTGACTTTCCACCCGCACTGTTCAAAGACGGGGTTGAAGTTCCACCGTGAAGTCACTCAGTCAGCGCTTCTCCGATCTGTTTGCTTGCATTTGGGAAAAATAATCTGTCCCAGAAACTGTGCTAACCAAAGGGGGATCAGTCTGACCCAGGTTGTAACGAGACTGAGGAGGAGAAGGCGCAAGTATTCTTGGATGAACTGACCAGTCATCCTGTCCTTTGGTATGCACTTTGCACCCACAAAGTGTAAGGTGTAAGTGTGTGGACGAGCAGTCACTGAACACGCCACTTACGATCCAGGGAGAGGCACTGGAAGTTGTGGAGCGTTTTACATATCTTGGAAGTTGTATTAGTTCTGATCGTAGTGTGACAGATGAGGTGAATGCACGAATCTGCAAGGCTCGGGCCGCGTTTGCTAACTTGAGACACCTATGGCGTCA